AGCATAGACTTGTAGAGAACATTACTTTGTTATGAGTATACAAAAGCTGACTTTTCTCACTTTTGAAACCAAGTTGATCACGTTTGAAAAACACGCTTTTTAGACGTTGAGAAACACTAGAAACTGCAGTAGGTAATGGTTTGTAGAGCGCATAGAGGTAATTTGACATGCTGATCATGGAATTGATACCCATTTCACAAAGCTTTCCACCACGACCTCATATGTCAAGGTAAAAGAGATGAAGACTTGAATTTGGCTGAAACTTCCATTGTGGAAACAATCAATATGCTATCTATGACCGTCATTTCTTCATGTGATTGCGATATCCACCGGACTAGCGCATTTCTTCTTCACCTTTGCAGTATCTCCCCAACTTAACAAATTCGATTCTTAATTACGACCCTTCCCCTCAGTCTTACCCTCAATACGACCCCCAGGTCGGGCGCGCCTGACCCCACGCTCAACCCTGTTTATAGGACCACTGCCGCGCGCGATACACCCTTCTGCGGCTTTTGCCTATGCAAAAACAGGGGGAGGGAGTTTTGCCGTCGGTTGCGTGCGACCGTTTCCCCATTTCGTGAATATCTGGGATCTAAATTGGCCCGAAAGCAAAAAAATGTCCATTCAAACCCTGCAACTCGCCATAACTTCACTATTGCGTTATGGCAGCGAGCAAGCATCATATTCATAAACGATATACTTGTGAATCGTTACAGGTAAGGTTTTGAGCAAATCTGGAACATCGACCCATCTACTGTACCACATTAATCAATTAATTAATTAAGAAAATGCGCTATCCTGCGAAATCAGCATGATATTTATGTTCAGCGCACTAAACGACCACCCTAGACGAAGTTTAAAGCAAAACTATGTTTTCGACCCTATGCCATATAACAACTATGTTTTCGACCCCATGCCATATAACCACCATAACTCTATGAAAAGATCTCAATATGCAGAGAGAGAGATGATATTCGTAATTAGCATGTCGAATAAGCCATAAAGACCGAACTCCAGCCGAATTCATGATTTTGACTCCCTACCGTACACCTATCGTAACCAGACGGGAAGATGTTCTGCGGAGAAAGTGTGATATCTGTAATCAGCATGTAAAGGGCATACTTCACGCGATCTCAGTCGCGACGCGATTTGGCAATTCGCCAGAAGTCTTCGGATCCAACATAGCAAACTGCACATGCATAGAGTGTATAACTTACGTAAAATGATGAAATGCCCTATCTTCTGTACATTTATAATGTGCCTACAATGAGTTATGGACACCTGGAATATTGCCAAATCGCGTCGCGATTGAAATCGCTTGAAGTATGCCCGGCCCGTAAGATAACCCTTATACACGAGGTTTGAGCAAACTATACCACAAAAAAATTTTGGGGCCCGGATAGCCGAATAGCGTCAAACTAATATCGAACTCGTAATCAGCATGCTCGATTACCCCCCTGTGACAAATCCGAGCCCCGTAGCTCAAACTTTGCAAAAAAATCGATAAAATCGATAAAAAACAATAGACGATTTCAAAAACTAATATTGTAATCGTAATCAGCATGCTCGATTACCCCACTGTGCAACGTCCCAGCCCCGCATGTCAAACTTTGCAAAAAAATCGATAAAATCGATAAAAGTAATCGACAATTCTGAAAACTAATATTATATTCGTAATCAGCATGCTCGATTACCCCCCTGTGCCAACTCCCAGCCCTATAGCTCAAACTTGCAAAAAAATCAATAAAATCGATAAAAGTAGCGAATAATTTCAAAAAGTAATATTGTGTTCGTAATCAGCATGCTCAATTACCTCCCTGTGCCAAATCCCAGCCCCGTAATTGGACTCAGCAAAAAAATCGATAAAAATCGATAAAATCGATATCGATCGATGACGAAAAGTAGCCTATGACATCCGCCGGGGCCCGAAGTGTATGTGTGCCAAGTTTGGTCCGGATCGGTTCAGAAATGGAATTTTCTATTCGAAACATACGTACATACAGACAGACAGACAGACAGACAGACAAACAGACATTCAGCTTTATATTTAAGACCAGTCCGAAGCGCCGCTTCGCGGCGCTCCGGACTGGCTGTGTGTGTGAAGTGGGATATGACTCTCAAAGTTAGAGCGTGGAAACCTTTTCTCCTCCAAAAGTATGATTTCTTAGGAACTCGGAGATCATCAAAGTTAAATGTCAGGATCTCCTGCTTTAAATGGTTTCCCAAGTTACATCATTAACCAAAGTGATAGATTGATCGCTTCCTCTCAGCTTTCTTTGCAACTCGCGTTTTATTGTCATTCCTGAGTTCTGAGCCAAACTGGCCTCCCCCCCCCCCTTTTCATCCAAATGTTTCCTTTATAAACTGCCCAAAACCGATCTTTTCTCGCATTTTCAAATCCTCTTGATCTTACTCAATTGCTTTCGAATCTAGCTCCAAAGATGCTGTTGAGAAAATGCGCCACCTTACACCTTTAAAGTCTGCACCGAATCAGGCCAAAATTGATATGATGAGCTGCGAACGCAAAGATTCTGCATCATGTCTGCGGCGTTAGGACTTGTCCGTTCCCAGCTTTTCTTTGAACCCTCCTGCAATGCGAAATGCAGCGCAAGCCCTAAGCGTTGGTGTGCCGTTTTGAACCAAAATTTCAGCGTTATCACCATAAACTGTAGCTGCCAAAGTTGCTCATTCCCACATTTGCGAAAATCCTCGGATGCTCTCCAATTTTCACATCCGAAAGTTATCTGACCAAAGTGGCCGTCACAAACCCGGCAAGCTTTTCCCAGCTATGCACATTTTCATGGCTGTTTTTACCCGGACTCTGCTCTCCTCATCGACTGTCCCTACGAACTGCCTTAGAAGGCACATATGAAAGCTGGGGTGAAGTAAGCGACGTCCCTTGTCATAAAAGGGCCGCGGGCGATCACTGCTATGACTTTTCAACATTGGGTCGAATTCCGTAAAGAGAGCTAGTATTGAAGCGTATATCCAATTTTAAGCTGTTCATTCAAGCAAATCACCGCTGTATATACGATTTTGAGGTTGTGCATTGTTCTGACAAAATTGCACTAAAAAGCTACATGTTCCTGAGGTTAGCAAGGGTTGAGTTGATGGTTAGTGAAGCGTCCCTTTCTTCCCATCTCTTTTGTTCACACTTGGTATACTGATAACAGACAGACAGCGTGTAGCTCTTTTCAAAACTTCTCTCACGATCACAGTAACTTTTACAGTTTTCTTGAAATTTTCAGTCTTTGGATTAATTTAAAATCCTGAGATGAAGTGTTCTCTTGAAACCTGCGTTGCTTGCAAAGTGAGCTTTTTGTATAACGTTTAGTGTTTCAAGGCAGTTCGCATCACCATGTTTTTTTAATCACTTAGTGGATAACAATTTGGAAAGTTGGCACAGTATTGATGTTTGACTATTTTCTCAAAGAGGTTCGATTTTCACAGTGAGTTTAAGGCATTTTTCATGTGAAGATACGTTCAGCATGCTTCATTCGCTTCTTTTGCTTCATTCTTGTAGAAGGGTTTTTTCAGAGTAAAATTTGAAAATTTTTAATGAGATAAGTTTGGTAATGAAGACAAAAATAGAATAGTGCACAATAGGAAAATGCACAATGAGTGATATGATTTTGCTTGATTTTTAAGGAAAGGTTCAATTTTGAGTTTTGTTTTTGCACGTAAAGATACGTTTAGTGGTAAAAAACAGTGATGATGTGGTGCACTGATTAAGAAAGAATTGAGGAGATGTAATGCGGATATCAATGTTAAGTATTATCACCGACCTGAAGATGCTATCCGACGTTTGCTTATTTTCACAAATGAATAAAGCAAAATGTAAAGCGGTTGAAATAAATCGACCGCTAACAGCGTTGTAGGCGACGGAATTGGGGTTGCATTTAGCTTGACGTCGAGATAAACATCACCGAAGCAGACGGAGCACCGAAGATGGTAGAAAACATCATACCATTGATGACGTCATAGGTTGCACTTAGGTTGAGTCGTAACGGTAAACAGTATGGAAGCAAGTGAAAGTGCAAGAATTAACTCAGAGATCTGGGCAAACATTCTTCGCCGGTTGTTGACGTCGGATGGTCCCCCCTGCGCTTTATTATAGGGTATGATGTTCAAGTCCTTTGATGATCACCCGAATATTCGTCGGAATCCCCAACGCATGGTCTTCACTTGTTATAATTTTATCGATTTTAAAATTTCCTTTTCAAACTTTTGAAAGGGCTTCCATAACTTTTGGACAGTGAACTGCAATATCCATGGGAAAAGTGATTTTTTAGCATTTTTTTTTCCAAAAACCATAACTTTACAAAGCAGAGCACTATAAGTACAAACTTTGCTCATATAGAAAGCGGAGGCCAGGAAATCTATGGCAATAGGTTTGAATCTCATTGCATAGTTTTTGGGTTTTCAAAGGGCTTGCCTCAAATCGCCGAACTACAAAAGGTTTTAATTTTCCAATTTTATTTCTGCGAAGAAAGACGAAAGCTCGCTGGAAGGCAGTCAAGATGCCACTGGAAAGTGTATGCTTTACTCTTTCCAAGAATAATTTTGTTGTACAAGATTATCGTAAGAGATGAAGTTACGATTTTTTGATAATGGTGCGATAGAGCTTTCGCAATCTAATATCTTATCGTATTGCACTTTGTTTACTGTATCCATATGATATCAAAGCTCTTACAGGAGTTTGAATTATAGAACTTAAAACAAAACAGTTGGAACTGTGGTATGTTGAAAAAAATAGATTGGAGATGCCGACGATCATTTGATCATTAAAGAACTCAGAACAAAAATACACAGCTAAAAAGACGAAGAATTCCTGCACTGAATACTGTTTGGAGCGTTTGCTTATCATCAATCTGAGTAAGTTGAAAGTAGTCTCAGAAAAGGGCACGATCTATCGAACTAACCTAATTAGATTATTTAGAAGATGAAAAAAGAAACTGAAAGGAAGAGCAGCACGCAAATATTCACGCTTGACTGGCTTCAAAGGAAGTAGAGAGATAAGTCATACTTTGCCTACATTGCCTCAGTAAGAAATGTATGCTCCAACAATACAACAAATCATGTCCGTAGAGCAATGGGAAGACATCAAACTGCAACATTTGAGGATTCGTCTTCTGCAGCCTCTCAAAGTCCACTAGACAAGCGACATTCTCAGAAGCTGTTCCCGAGTGTGCGTATGTATGGGATTTCCTTAAAAAATGAATTTCAACGTATAGTACAGTAAGTGATTCTGGTTTCACTACTACCTTTGCATTTAATAGGATAAAGCTAGTGACAGCGACTTTGATAGGTCGGGACTACAATAAATATGAAAAACGACTATTTTGTGCGATGTTCGGGGCTGGTAGTAATCTTCCGACATGGAGGCAGGTCTCACCGGCAGGTCGCCGGCACGTTGCTGTGATGTCGCCAGAAAATAAGATCCTAAACCTAGGCCGTCTCAAGGCTTTTAGCAAGAACATTCAGGGACGAAGCCATCGCGATTTTGAAGAAAATCCCATCGAAGCATGAATTCCCCGGAATCTTCCTACAGAAACATATTGGGAAGCGCCGGGGGAGCTGCAGGCGCGTGAGCTCATTTGCCAGCAACCTGCCAGCAGTTTGTCGAAATTTGCGAGGTGGCAGCTGCTGGCAGGTAGAGCACGAGAAATAGCGTGCTCTTTTGAGAGAAAAAGTTGCAGGCATCTCAACGTGCCCCTACCAAGTTGAGGTATTGTCGACTCCCCCACTTTGGCGAGGCGGGATCGTGTCTTCATCAAAAATCGATGGGTCAGGTATGCCTCAGCACAGGGCAACCGCAGCGCAAGGCACGCTAGCGCAGCTCCGCCTCGCCAAAGTTGTGGAGCCGCTCATACTGGCAACCTTGCTGGCGGCGTCTGCGAGTTTAGGAAGTGCGGCATATCATACAATTTACGTTAAGGAAATAAATTGAAAAATTCTACCTATATTATCGTTTTTGTATTTGAGGTTTTATAATTGTATCGATGATACGTATGAAAGAGGAGTCTGGCATTATCGCAAAATAGCAGAATCGCCTTCTTTTTGCCTTCATAACCTCTTTTGCAATGATTCGTCTTATCGCATCCATATCAGTCAGCTGTTCTTTCAGGTACGTCTAATACGCAGTTTGATCATGCCCTCATACAGGCACCACTTGTTTGTGCGTTCCTGCTATTATTTTGCGAACAGCAATAAATTACTGATTGTGAGTGGCCTAATGGTTGGCGCGTTCGCGCTCGAATTCAACGGATGCAAGTTTGAACGCGCGAGGTGTTATTGTTTTGCGGAGGACTGCGTCGTCACAATTCTTGTAGAGGCAGTAACTACGGACCAAGGTTTTTTTAACCTCGCATGTGTCCCGCTTATGAAATGTCTGTTTTTTTGTCAGATGTCTCGTCTGTACCAAGTTCTCGCAGGTCGACCTTGATTCTGTCCATCCATCTCATTTTGGGTCTACCTCTGGGTTTTGCCTGGTGCCTCCATAGCCGGGGCTAACTTTGTGATGTGACTCTTATCCTTTCTGCGCACATGCCCATGCCATCGCAACCTCTTTTTCTGCATTTTCTGGGCAATTGGAGCTACTTTCACTTGCGCTCGTAAAGTGTCATTGCAGATGTGATTCTTTAGTGTGACTCCTAAGGTCCATCATAGCATCCTTGTTTCTCTTCCGTGACTGCTGGTACTGATCCTTCTATTGGACTGGCTTCTGGGATAGAGGTCACGGTGCGGTCTGTGGTGGTCATATCTTCGAAGTTGATTCTTCATCTTTCTCTCGATGATGTCCTCTGGTTTTCTTAGCGTTCTACCAAGTTTGTCCTTGAGCATGTCTAGCGATCATTCTCCGATTTCGTCTTATGCCATCGCTTGCACGCATCCCTCTTCTCCTCTATGTTTGCACTTCGTCATTCCACCACCACGCTTCTCGATTATTCCTTCTTCTTCCTAGCTTTGCGCTTCCCATGATCACGTGTGCCACTTCGTGGACTCGATCTTTCAAAATCACACAGGATGGCTCTGGATTCTCTTGCCCTGGTAGGGCTGTTAGCAGTGCTTGTTTCACCGCCTGGTCTCTGTGGCTCTCCTGGTGTGTCTACTCGTTATTGATTTGATGTCGAAAAGCAGTGGTCTATGATGAGGTATGCATCTCTCACCGGAAATGACTTCGCAGTCCTTTACGTTTTTGAAATCACGCTATCGCATAGCTCAAAAGTCATCTGTGTTCGTCGGTCGTCACTCACATATGTTATGAGGTGGTCATCCTTCTTGATAATATGTGTTCGCCAAGGCCAGATCATGAGATGAGGCGAATTCCAGAATGCGCTCACCTTCTTCATTGCATGTTCCGTATCCGTAGCCTCCGTGACATTTCCCGGCTTCTCCTTGCCTTTCTGCCACATGTCTGTTGAGGTCCGCTCCTAGCGTCTCTTCTAGTAAAATTGAACTAATGTGGTCATCAAGCTCCTGACAGAACTCGTCCTTTTCATTATCCTTACATCTGACTTGTGGCGCATAGGCGGTGATTGCTCGTAGGACCTGTTTCCCAGTACCTATCTTAGTGCTCATGAGACGATCGCTTATGCGTTCGACGTCAACTATATTGTTCCTTAGAGTCTCCGAGACAGCTATCCCAGCCCCGTTTCTGGTGCAAGTAGCACCGTTGTAGAGGAGCTTATATCCATCTCCGATGTCGCGTGACTTTGCCCGCTCCACTTCGGTTCCTGTATGCAAGCTACATCAACCCGCCTTCTCTTCAGAAGATCTGCTAACGGTGCCGAATGACTTGACAATGGCTACCCTAAACTCATCGCAGTCAAGCGGGCACTTTGTGTATAACAGAATGTGCGCCGAGCCGAGCTTGGCAGAACGATTCCTTGGATTTAGAACTAGTTCAAAAGCTTCATATGGCGATGCGAGCCAATGTGACACTCAAGTAATCACTGCGTCGTTTGCATAAAATCCGCGGTGTTGTACTCTTACAAAGTTCAATTTACTCACCTCCTAATGGCTAAAAACTTGAAATTCTCAGCTTTGCATGTTTTACAAAAGCATAGTTGCCTTGGTTTGATAATGTTCACTTTTGATTCATTCTTAGACTGAACCTTTTCTCCGTTCACTAAACACGTTTTTAAAGTGTCACTCACTTAATTGCTCAAACTGAATTTTCTTTAGTTATTCGATTATACTTTGACAAAAGGATAGAGCAATCTATCGACTAAACGATTATGAAAACACCTGATAGCTCGATCTTTGTAACAAAATAAAGCTTAAACGTAACGTCAACCTTGCGCAATAATTCTTTTTTATACTTTAGACGAAAATGCTTACAGGTTGGCTAAAGTTGGGTGAAGCTAAATGTTTATAAACAGCTTATTTTGATAGGTCCGTATCTGTTCGTACAATACCTTACTTGAAAAGCCATTTAAAAGGAAAACTTTTGATCTGTCGTACCTTCTTGTCTATCACATAATTGTTTTTATCAAACGACTGCGATAAAGATTATGAGTATACCTCCTCTAGGCTTCGTTTTGATCTTACGCCGAAGAGGGAATGATTTTCAGAAATGTGCAAAATTTTAACTATAAAGATCATTAACAAAAAATATGAGACAAAATAGATTTTCAATGCAATGATTGATCAGTTTTTGCCACAAACTGTGGCTTATTTCAAGCCTCATTCTGATAATAAGCGCTACCTCTAGCCATGCAACAAGTTCATATGATAGTATGAATCCAACAGAAACACACTCAGATAATCGCCGGGGGCAGGCGGTCCGCAAATTGCGCTTTTCTGCGAGCGGTCAGCAGAATTTTGGGGCGTGGCCAAACCTTCAGCGAGCGGTTCTTCTTTTACTGTCTAATGTTCTGCCAGCGGGCAGCAACACAGAATTTTCTGCAGGCGCTGGTCAAATAGTCTCTTTCAGCAAACGCTGGCCGAACTTTCAGCAGGCGCTCGGACTCTTTTTACGCACTTTCGGGCTTACGTCGAGCACAGGTAAGACTCTGTGTGGCAGAGGTGTCAGCGTTGGTTTAATTACTCAAGTTTGAGGTACTTTCTCTCAGCGGAAAGTACCTGGGGGCTGCGCGGTCCTCCACAAAGGACCGTGCGGCCCCCGAAAATTTTGCATATTCTCGCGGAAAGTACGCGAGAATGCGGCCACTGCGCCGCAGCTAATCTATAAGGAAACCGCGATTGTTCTCCAAGCATTCGTCTAATAATTCGTTAAATTTCTTCCCAATATCTGCAAGCGGACCGCAAGAAACCAAACCAGCGAACTATTTTTCCGGTGCCCGCCCGCCATAAATCGCATGGCCGCTTGCCCCCAGCGATTATCTGAGCACGTGTTCCAGAAATAGATAAAATCGAACAAAAATTGCTATACCTTGGGAGGGCATTTTAAAACGGCAGCGTCGGTAAGATTCCTAATAGTGCTCTTCCTACCAACAGGATCAAATAGAGAATTCCATAGGTATGTCGCAAACAAAGCATTTCCGTACTTGCTAAAGTGAAAGTGGTCTTCCGCATAAAACGCATCCTCCGCCACCGCATCCTTCTAAAAGTTTCAAATAGATTCGTTCCTATTCGATAGTTCAATTCAGTTCAAATAGATACAGCATACCACTCGGATGACGTCCACGATGTTGTTTGTGTATGGTCGCACGACAACAGCAAAATTTTTCGTTTCAAACTTTCTTTCAAACTGAACCTTTTCAAGCATCTTGAAATGACAAGTTATACTACTTTTCTCTCGAATCTTGCAAGTGTTACCCTGTTGAACCAATGCACTCTGTCTTCTCGAACAATTGTTGAAGATTTGCCTTTCCAACATGGCACTGTTATACTGCAAAGGTTTGTCTTACGCTGTGCGATGCATGTGGATGCAAAATCTTGCGATTTTACGCCAATTTTTAGAAAGAATGGAGGCGCTTTTTGTGGGCGTTATTATTAGTTATTTTGCATGTTAGGCTGTTGATTACACGAAGGCTGCATCAGTAATGATATGTACTGATGATTAATGGTAAAGGTGTCAAAAAGCGAAATCTATTACCCATCAAGCTTGTATCGGGCTCCTACAAGGACCTGAGGCTTAATGACTGGAACAAGCACAACGATTGTATTTTTCATCTTATAGCGAAGAATGGCTAGTGCCTCCTCGAAATGTATTCTGAAATTCCACTCCGTAGTGGGCTCCTGAAATAAAGTAGCAACGTAGCTTTGAGATAGTTTGCAAGCTCACCTTTTTGCTATTGTTGTAACATGTGAGATAACCTAGATCGTGAAGCCCCGCAAAGATGGCTATCATTTTCCACTTTTTACGAGCATTTTCCTGCCAAAGAATTATAAAAACGACGACTTAGATTCATCTTTAAAAAATGCAGCATCCAACATCCAGATATTGTAAACACTTCCGAGATGCTTAATGAGAAATGCGACTTCAACTGTTCAGTCGCATCATATTCAGTTGAAATCTAATCGCATTTCTGAAAAGTGGGAGGGGCTTGCCAACGGTGGGCGGAGCTGCTCTGCCCACTTGCAAAAATGCCCGGAAACGGTTCGTCCACAGAGACAGACCTCAAGAAAACATCTCGTCGTCAGCGTTTAAGTTGTCATTCACTTACATCCACGCATATAGATGACGGCTACAGTCTGGATCAATTAGTAGGATGTAGCAAAAGACCAACAGCAAGCAAAGGACGCTCTGAATGCGTGGGGTGTCAGTGAAGGAAACAGATCGAAGATTCATGTGTAATTCTGTTTCAGCGACGATCAAGATTTGCATCAATTCTTTATTGGCTAACGTTTCGGCGATTTCGCCTTCGCCAGAGCCTGTAAAGTCAAAGTTTAAGCAACTCCTTCACTCAGATGCCAATAAAAGAGTCAGCCCAGTATCCGATCGAAACAGAGTGACAACGCGGACTACGGTAGTTGATACAACCCCGGAAGACAGCACGAGGGCCGAAATGAACACGTTTGAACAAGATCATTCCTCCGCTCTTTATACAGGGTGTCTCAAAAACATGTGCACACTGTTTGATTGTAAAATAACTCTTTTGTATTGGATATTGGTGTTTCGAGAAGTTTTAGGTACCATTTTGTAGAGCGAGGTTCAACTTAGATTTACAGTGTAAAGCGAATCGCCGATTGCTCATTCTTACTGTGAGATTACGGTAGACACTATGAAGAGGGTTTTGAGCCATGAAAGGCCATATTTTGTTCCAAAAAGGAACCAAAACAACCTTAAAACTCTCACACTGGGCTAATTAGAGTTGCTGGTTCTAAATGTGAAGTTTGCAACTGTTCGTAATGCTTCATTTAAAAATTATGCGAGTAAGCGATAGCGGCCATCTTTTCAATGTTCCTAAAATGTGCGGTTACACCGTTTAAAAAGAAACCAAGAGAAACCTTCGTAACCTTGTAAAGAGTTGGGTACTGAACTCAGCGTCCATGAAAACCCTATTACACAAGTTTCCATATTCTTTTGAAAATTTTTGAAACGACCGCTTTTTTCACAGTGACACCATATGTTTGAAGTTTCCACCATAATCCTACAGTAAGAATGAGCGATCGGCGATTCGCGCTACATTTTGAATCTAAGTTGAACCTCGCTCTACAAAATGGTACCTAAAGCTTCTCGAAACACTTACTACAAGAGAGTTATTTACAATCAAACAGTGTGCACATTTTTGGGACACCCTGTATGTGCTGACTCTGTATCAAATCCGCATATGGACAAATAGCCTGATAGTTCTTGCGTGATGGCAATGCACTCTTCCTTAGCGTTCATTTTTGGGCTTTTGCGCTTATCCAAAACACTTCCAAATTTTTGCCCGCTAAGGTATCAGGCCCCAAAGATAAGATCTTGACATCAATTTGGAACGTTGCATTGTCGTGCCGTGTCATGTGGTACGAGCTCAAAGGCGTGCTCGACTTAAATTTTCGTAGCCCGTCTAGATGTTCTTTTACATGGCAGCAAAGAGGGCGCCCAGTTTTACCAATGTAAATATCACCGCATGATAGGCATGTGATGATATAAACTACATCTGAAATCATACAATCACCCTCTTTGCTAAATAGATCGAAGATTTACAATTTTCTTATAGACACGGTGATATGCTATATTAGTTTAGTTGATCCGAACGCTGCTGCGCTGACAAGCAAAACTATCATGGTCGGAGGGTCCAGCATGCAATCTAAAAAAGGAAGGTAGCGAGGTTCTCTCGCAGATGGCGCTTCCGTCGAAGACGACAGTATATTCGAAGTGTGCAGTAGCAGAGGCAAAAGAAGGACACGCTAAGAATACCAAAAAAATAAAGATTTGAAAATGCCTGCTGATGCAATAAGTCTCAACAATAGCTGCCGCCCGTCAGAAAGTCATTAAACGAGGCAGGGCATTCCACGCTGAGCACGTCCGGATGCTAACAGTATCTTTTTATTAGGGTGAATAAGTCATATCAAAAAGTAAAAACAATATCACCATTTACATTGTGAAGGATCCTCACATCTGTCCTGGGAAAGACGACGGTTTACGAATGTAACGGATTTGACCAGCAGAAGATTTACACGGCGAATCCCAGATCAGCCCAACTACCAAATATAGCTTATAAGATGTTACAAGAACGTGAAGTAAATATTCACATTATAATCACATTCATGTTACCATTACATCCGCAGAGATTGCCATCAGGTGATTTGGCGACGCTCAAAACAAAGCACTTGTCCCGTTTGAGTCCGCCTCGGCGCGCGTTCTATCAAGTTACCACAATAGTGCTCACTAAGACCAAATGCCCCAAACAGTACTCACATAAACAAGCTTACAGTTGCACACTCACAGGCGATTTTCAGAGAGGTTCCTTATCGTTTTTTCCACATTGAACTGCTCGCAGTTGCCCTGTGTGGCTTGCACCTTTTCTTTGTTGATAATTTCTACACAGTGCTTCCGTCTGCAGCGTCTATGGGCGCTGTTCTCGGTCAACGGAGGTTAGTTGACGCGTGTGAGTGAAACTTGTGGAGACGTCGTGCCCAGCATATTCTTTGCGCGCATGTATGAACAATATTTCATGTTGCGACAATTCTGGAGGTTTACGAGGGCTCAATCTTAACGAAGCAGATTGGCGCAAAGCTTATCAACAAGTTTCACGATCCTGTGGAAAAGACTCGGGGTTCCAAGTCCTTAGAGAAGATTTAGCATTGGGTATCTGGATGCATATTACTTATTCTTTCATCAAGGTAATCGAATAAGCTCAACTTTAACAATTGCTTTCTGATAGTGCCTTTTACGCTCTATCCATGCACATGCAAATTACTTCGGCTTTTCTCATTTTCAAAAATTGTGAACCAAAACATGAATTTTAGTCTGAAAATCTGCGCCAAACACAGCACTTTTTTGAATAAAGTGCCTTTTTTGTATGAAATAATTCGCAATTTTTGAATGTTCAAGTAATCAAAGGAAAGAACTTGGAAAGCTCTTCCGAATGATATGCCACATGTCGAGGGACCTTTCAGGTGCAGCAGCACAAATTCGGATGGTGTTCAAAAAAGTCTGTTTAACTTTTTTGAAGCGCCGCTCAAAGAAATGTCGGGTAGGTGCTGCAAGGTGCTGTCAAGATAACCTGCAAAGGTCACTTTATACAAAAGCGTTCAAATTCCTGGTTGATCATAGCTAATTAGAAAGAGATTCTGAAGAATGTTTAAAAAATCAAGGTGCCCCGTTACTTTTGGATCACCCTAATAATTTAAACAGCAAACATAGTTTTTCAAGTTCAAATTTCTTTTGTGCCGTACAGGTTTGAGAAGTGGTCTTTATTTCTTCCAATCACGGCCTTACGTTTCGACGCCTTTCGTCTTCCTCAGAGGCCTGAATGGTTCTAAGTGTCATCTGTAATTCCAGACCACCAAGCGTTTCCTCCAACTCTGCTAGTTTTCGACCTTCTCACAATCTCGCTACCAAATAAAATGTCAGCGTAGAGGACATACCGGGAGACCACTGCAACTCGAGTAGTCTGCACCGGAAATAGGCAGTCGCGGCAGACGAGTGAATCATACTGTAGATACACCGAGATGGTCTACAGTCATAGATCACATAATGATACGAACGGGAGGAAGTCACTAGTTATCGATAAACACTTGTTCTTATTGTTCATCTCAAGATTCTTGGTAGTAATCCAGAATGCTTCCAAAGCTTTTCTAGCCGAGATCTCTGTTTCATACGCAAGTATTTTGCACTTGACATTGAAGTCTTCTCCACCGTGCTGAGCGTCTCTATGCCTGCCGAGCGCCGAGCCCAAATTTTTGCGCCTTTTATCGGTCAAGTGTTCTTTCATGCGAATACCCAAAACTCTACCCGTCTCTCCTATATATATTGCTTCGCAGTCAAGGCATTCGATTTGATAAACGACTCCCATTTTTGCACAGTCCCCAACTCTACCCTGCGGGCATACTATGTATTGCTCTGTTGTACAGTATCGGTCGTAGAGCCTATTTCGGACTAACTGCTTTTTGATATTGTCATTGGGGATGTTAACTAAAACAACATCATCTTGCAGCTGGGCTCGAAAAATGCATTGCTGAAACGCCGCGGTAATCTTATCTGAGATGAAGGGAAGGCAAAGTGGGAGCTTGTTGGTACTATGAATGCTGGCACCATTCCTAGATTGTCGAGGCGAGGTAAGTCATGGTAACCATTACTGCAAGCAACTCGAGAAGCCAAATTTCGCGATTCGCAACGTTCTTTCTCCCCAGAGCACATCTGCATAGCGGTCTTGTACATATTGGTGATAACTGCGCGTTTTACCGATGCAGGATGTGCGGACTTGACATTTATTAAGATGTTCTTAGAGCTTTCCTCCTTGCGGTACCATTTTACCTTAACAATGCCATTGGATAAATTCACCTGTGCGTTGAGATATGGCGTTCGGTTTTTCGCGTGTGAGTCTGATGTACTGCGACTGCTGGTTCATGATTTTAAAACACTCATCCATTTCGGACTGTGTTGATGTAATGACACAGCAGTCGTCGATGTAGCGGCAGTACATCAGAGTCGTACGAGCTAACACCGGTTCCTCAACTTTGCTCATGAAACAAATAGCGAGGACTGGCGCCAGTCTTTGGCCCATAGCTAGTCCGCGTATCTGGGAATAGTATGTCCCAGACCATCTGAAGATGATACATTTTAGGCATTCGCTAATAAGGACCATCGTGCGCACTTTGCCAAGTCCAAACATATTTATGGTATTCGCATACTTATCCAACGATTCCGACAACGCTTGTAAAGCTTGGTCGTTCTGCGCATTAGTATAGAGTGATGTTACGTCAAACGACTCTATAACAGCGCTCGTATCAAGCTTGGCGTTGTAAAGATTTTCGATGAATCTCTGTGAGTTGGGTAAGTGTGCTGGTACCCTAGACAGTAACTGGCTCACAATTTTGTTCAAAAGCCATGAAATTCTATCGGTTGGACTGCCAACGCAACTGATTATAGGTCTTATTTTGTAAGTATCCGCTGACATTGAGTTCATGTCCTGCAAGGAAAGCTTGTGCGTCTTTATAAGGCTGTAGAAGACCGGACAGCTTGGATTCGTAATCTTCATCCTGTTAATAAACCTGTCTTGAAAACCTGCAGACTTCCCTATCGTAGTCCAAGCGTCGTTGAGTCTTCTATATTGGGTATGATATTCTTTCTCATCAACTACTCTATAAGTCGCTGTGTCTGCGAAGTGGGCTGCTGTTATACGGCGATCCAGTTCTTGCGGCATTATCACAAACTCTCCACCTTTATCGCTTACAGATAGACGCACGGAAGGATTCGAAATAAGCTCACGTATCTCTTTGAAACCTCGCCACTCTTCAGGTGACAGATTGTTCTGGTATTGTCGTTCTGACTTAGTCAGCCTAATATAACAGAAGACAAGATACGGAACTTCATGTCTACGTTCAATACTGGTTCTGGCTGTCTGTAGAAAGATGGAGGAAATGGAATCGCCGGTAACCGATTTGACTCTTGAGCAGCTTGTGTGTTACCTTCGCATCGCTCTTTTATCCTGAGAGAGTCTCTGAGTTTGTGCAGGCTGCCTACTACTTTGCGGCATATTATAGCGTTGACATTTTGTGCAGGGGAGAAGGAGGGACCAAGGCTGAGAAGCTTTATAATATCAGATGATACGTGAGTGTTACCAACAACTGTGACTCTCACCGGCTCTTCATTGCAAGATGAAAAATGATCAGAGCTATCTGAGCATTTTCTATGGCATTCATCAAAAGTTGGTCGCACTTTGCGAGAAGTTTGGATTTAACCCTAGATCGAATCGAGCTACAGACTAGCTTAGAACCATCCTCGATCCTCCTCCAACTTTCACAAGGCAAGAGACGTTTACAAGCCTGTTCTTTAGCACAACATTTTAACAAGGTACTATACAATGACCTCTGTTCCTCTTTAATGATAACGTTCAAAATGATCTGATATATCTTCGTTATCTTGGAATTATTCTCGTCGAGGCCACAGGTGTATCCCAATTTCTTATCCTTGATGAAACTTGAAACGATGTTCGATCTCTTGCATCGTTGGAGGAATTTCAAGGATTGGCGCGCCACTACCACTTTTTGTCGAAGTGATAGTGCTTCACTTGCCAAACGGAACACTTTCGGCGGTATGTTTTCAAGCAGCTTCCAAGTCCCGTTTTCATGAAACCTGGGCATGTGTCGTAAGTTCAAATTTCTTTTGTGCCGTACAGGTTTGAGAAGTGTTCTTTATTTCTTCCAATCACGGCCTTACGTTTCGTAAGGCCTTTCGTCTTCCTCAGGGGCCTGAATGGTTCTAAGTGTCATCTGTAATTCCAGATCACCAAGCGTTTCCTCCAACTCTGCTAGTTTTCGACCTTCTCACAATCTCGCTACCAAATAAAATGTCAGCGTAGAGGACATACCGGGAGACCACTGCAACTCGAGTAGTCTGCACCGGAAATAGGCAGATGCGGCAGACGAGTGAATCATACTGTAGATACACCGAGATGGTCTACAGTCATAGATCACATAATGATACGAACGGGAGGAAGTCACTAGTTATCGATAAACACTTGTTCTTATTGTTCATCTCAAGATTCTTGGTAGTAATCCAGAATGCTTCCAAAGCTTTTCTAGCCGAGATCTCTGTTTCATACGCAAGTATTTTGCACTTGACATTGAAGTCTTCTCCACCGTGCTGAGCGTCTCTATGCCTGCCGAGCGCCGAGCCCAAATTTTTGCGCCTTTTATCGGCCAAGTGTTCTTTCATGCGAATACCCAAAACTCTACCCGTCTCTCTTATGTATATTGCTTTGCAGTCAAGGCATTCAATTTGATAAACGACTCCCAATTTTGCACAGTCCCCAACTCTACCGTGCGGGCATACTATGCATTGCTCTGTTGTACAGTATCTGCATAATTTTTCAATTTTTCAGCATAGACTTTCTTATCGCGCAAAACTGTATCATTCCTCTGACTAGAATTTAGATCATTGAGAATTTAGAGCCTCCTTCCACTTTATTGCCCTCGAATTGCACGAAAAATCGCTTTATGAAGTGCTCCCAAACTCTAACAACTTCCGGTTCTTGAACTTTCAGTTTTTTCGGTTCTTCACTTCAAACTTATAATTAGCTCTCATCGTCAACTCTTAAACATCTCATTTCTTTCATCTTATAATGTTGGAGTTTTGAAGGAACGAATTCCCAATTGAAAGTGCTATCTTTACGTTCTGTTCTTTTGATTATGTATAAACTTCGACATTAAGTTGATAGTTGGGTACAAGGATTTGTTTTTTAGTATTTAAGGAGCCAACTCACGCCGAGCACTGAGAAAACAACCCGTGCGTCAGCAATGTTGGCAACCTATTTGAAATTAGTGCAAATGAAAAAATTAAGCTTGTAAATGTGACTATTCGTGTCAAAAGGAACTTGGACGGACGCGCCGGTTCTGTCTCAAAAAAATGGAGTAATGATGAAGAAGAAGCAAATGAAAGTTGAAACCTCGCAAGCAAAAGAAGCAAACATATGAGATGAGACAATGAAAAAGTAGCTACTTTTACCCCTTTCATGCGGATCCGATCAACCAGTTCCTGTGCTTGCCTCGGTAAATCTTCACTAGTAGCCTCCACCTCGGCGACATTCAGATTAGCATCACTGAACCCTTTTCCAAATGAGGCTCCTTCAAGTCCTGTGTTAAACTCTCGCAAGATATCTGTAATAAACTGCTATAAATTTGTTTACTGCTGTTGTGGTACGATGAGATTGCGGTAGCAAGGAACCACCGTCAACTTTTCGAGCATTGTCTCAGGCCCTGGTCATGGTTCTGGTTCTCTACTATCTTTGCGGAACTCCAGTCTGGCGTTACATTGTGGTACTGCAATTTGGTTTTGACTACATTTTGAGAGTAAATTAATATCACATGTATGAAAACTTTGTCCTAGTTTTGTTGAGACAAACCCTTTTGGGGCTATAGTGTCGTTGGGTATGAGGTTATCCAACATTGATCGGTAACCTCATGGCTTTACACGACAATCACAGTACATGGCATTTTGAGCAAGCTAATGGAGAAGCCTTCAAACTGATTTTGTGCTATAGTCATATCTGCTATAGTCATATCAACAAAGTTCGTGCCATAAACAACTTTTAAGGCAGAGTCGGCAGACTTCCGACTTTTATATTTACACGTTATCCAGGCCTTTTCATGGCTGATTCCAATATGGCACATAAAAATCGTGAATTGCTCAAGAAAAAACCACCTATTTGGGACTACTTGTGAGGACGTGGACGAGTGCTTCTGATGCTATCTTTGTCGAAAATAAGCATTAACAGGTAAACACCATGTGTTCGATTGTGTTTGCTATGTGAAAACACGTCAAAGGCTGAGAAGATTCCGTTCAAGGGGGTTGACAGCGCGAGGAAGTGGGCGTGTTCCTCGAGGCTCGGACGTCTGCCCGGACACTGCCTTTGAGGGTGCGCTATCCCAAGTAAACGTTCATTGCTGACTCACCATGACATTTGTTGCCTTCAATATGTTAACCGAAACGCTTATGTCAAAGCGATTATTATGACAGAACCGATCATCTTTATAGAGGTCTTAGATTGGCCTCAACTTTGAAAACAACAAGCGACTATATGTCGCCGATAGGCTCCATCCTGCGCGAACAGCTGGCACAAATCTGTAAACTGTAATGACTTGGGCAATGACTGCGTGTGTATTGCACATATTCGCAGACCACCCCTTTCAGCGACATGTATGGTCTGTCCTAATCGAATTTAGGTCGAACCGCTGGCTTAAAGTTTACGAGCTCGCAGCTTAGGGGTTTGCACTGCGTATGCGCGTTGCCGGAGAGAGCTAAGATACTGAAAAAAGAGCAGACAACCTAGCCGCAAATCGGCGTCAAACTTTCGTAATACGGATCCCCTATGCCATTTTTGGCCTGACTGGATTGGGGCAGACTTCTACTCTTTAATGCCTGACGAGACTGAAAGATTTTTGATGATTCAAAATGAATAAGGTAACTGAAAGTTACTTGCGATTGTAACGTGTTTGTCCAGAGTTTCATCCGCTCCAGTGAAGAAGGAATTGCCGGGAAAAACATCCAAACTTTCAGTGTCGTAATTAGTAGAATGGAAGCCTACCTAAAATTTCGAGCAAAGCTTAGTGAATAGTCTTCTACGGTGTGATCTGGCCGGTATAGTTTGAAAATACTCACAAGGGATGCTACCTAACTTAGCTCGACCTCTTGAAACGAACTCATATATTCTGAATCAACTTCAAATGCTGATTCCAAATATGCGATTCCTAGCTGCCGCGCCCTTTTCTGGAGCGAGTTAGGGGCTTTTTCCTGCGCAAAACTGGCGTACTCATAGGTCACTGGCATTAAGGCATCATCATAGAAGTGCTAAAACACTTGCGATAAGCTTCTTTTTAGTCAAAAAATTGAATTTGTGTTATTTTGATATCTCAGCACCTTTTTCGTGCAGATTTTTATCTACAGGCAGTCTTCGCATGTTCAGTAGTATGCCAATTTTGTGCAGGAAAAGCTCATGGCTCGCTTCGAAATGGTGTTCGGCAGCTAGAAATAACATATTTGGAATCAGCATTTGAAGCTGATTCAGAATATATATTAGGTTGTCTCATAATTAATGCACGATTTTATTTGCTTGCTTTAACAAAGCAACCAGACTCAACCCAACAAAGGGTAAGGGGTACCGTCCGATAGAGCAAAGCAAGCTCTACAAGATGGCGCTCATGCCTTTGCGCAATGCTCGATCCACCGAGAGTTCGAACTCAAAATCTAAAAATTTCCAAATGCCCAAAAAATCGAAAAAAATCAGATCTTCGTCCAAATAATTTCTACGGACCTCCCACTCGCTCACATCAATACTATCGATATCTGATATCCATATGTGCGATTGCCGTATTTTTTCCTTGACTAGAAACTGAGAAAACGAAAATTTTTCTGATTTTCTCAAAGCAATGCTGAGCCGTTTTTGCATATGTAGTTCTATACTACAAGCCTAGGTAAGCATAACTGTAGGTTTTCAGCCTATTTCGAGAGGTACTTTTCGAGAAATGTCGATTTTAGCACTGAAACTAAAACGAAAAAATCCGAGTTTGTTATTTTACGAAAACTACCGCTTGGAATGGGCTGAGAACCTACAGTTATGCTTACCTAGGCTCGTAGTATAGAACTACATATGCAAAAACGGCTCAGCATTGCTTTGAGAAAATCAGGGAAATTTTCGTTTTCTCAGTTTCTAGTCAAGGAAAAAATACGGCAATCGCACATATGGATATCAGATATCGATAGCGTTGATGCGAGCGAGTGGGAGGTCCGTAGAAATTATTTGGACGAAGATCTGATTTTTTTCGATTTTTTGGGCATTTGGAAATTTTTAGATTTTGAGTTCGAACTCTCGGTGGATCGAGCACTGCGCAAAGGCATGAGCGCCATCTTGTAGAGCTTGCTTTGCTCTATCGGACGGTACCCCTTACCTTTTGTTGGGTTGAGTCTGGTTGCTTTGTTAAAGCAAGCAAATAAAAACGTGCATTAATTATGAGACAACCTAATATATTAGGTCGTTTCAAAAGTAATTTCGCTTTTTTCAAACGGGCACCACATTTGACGGAAGAAAGGTATTTAAGACATCTTGAAGGCATTCGATGCAGAATTTCACTCTCTTTCTAAGGGTTATGGAATTATTGCAGAACAGTCAATGAGCTTTCAGAAAATAACCAAAATCTGCGACCCATGCTTTTTGAGATGGTCAAGTTTCACTATTTTTTAAAACTTTCATATCAATCTTCAGAAGGAGTTCAAATAACGATTCGATAGAGTAAACCTTATAGAATACAGTACTACTTTTTTCTTCTTTCCATATCTTGTCATACATTTTTAACAGAATTTTAACTGATGCTACCGATTTCCATATTTGGGCAGCCAAATCTTCGTGGAACATCAAAAGAAGAGCAGCTCGCGCACTATTCGATGCGGCATTTTCTCCTCTTTCTAACATATGTTTTTTATCTCCGATTCGTTTAGTTTCCGGGGAGAAATCATCATAACTCATTTTTTTAGCTAGCCTCAGGCTGTACCCGAAAAACTCGAAATTTGATATTTCAAACCCGTAAACCCTCCTCTGCTTTGTAAAATTGATGCTAGCTCATAATACCATCTTGGTAGTCTCAAATTCCGAATAATTATGATGTTTGATGCAATTGTGGCTGAGGTGGGCCTGCCAAAATCCGATGGTTCTGTTAAAAACTCTTTTAAAATATTACGGCGAGCTATGAGAAAGAGAAAAAAAGCACTGTATTCTATAAGGTTTACTCTATCGAATCGTTATTTGAACTCCTTCTGAAGATTGATATGAAAGTTTTAAAAAATTGTGAAACTTGACCATCTCAAAAAGCATGGGTCGCAGATTTTGGTAATTTTCTGAAAGCTCATTGATTGTTCTGCAATAATTCCATAACCCTTAGAAAGAGAGTGAAATTCTGCATCGAATGCCTTCAAGATGTCTTAAATACCTTTCTTCCGTCAAATGTGGTGCCCGTTTGAAAAAAGCGAAATTACTTTTGAAACGACCTAATATATCCCCTGCCAAAAGGCCGAACTAAGTTAGGTAGCTTTCCTTACCAAAAAATGAGTCGGTTTTACTCGATTTCAAGTGTTAAGTCATAACATAAGTCTTGAGACACTTTAAGTTCTCGCGGAGATAAGTCAGGAACTCCACATTCTCAATAGGGGCACCATTCGATAGAGCAAAGGAAGCCAAACGGTATGCGACAGTTTGCACCAACTTCGATCCACCGTAAGTTTGCATCCAAAATCGGAGTCGTATTGAAGGCTCAAAAAATCGCGAAAAATTCATATCTTCGTTCGAAAATCTTACGAATCTCCAACTTGCTCACAATAATTGCACACTACATCATATACTCACATGTTTTTTCACCATTCAGACCCGTATGCACGTACATCCCCGCTGGGGAGGGGAGGGGAGGGGATCTGAGAGGGGATCCGTCATATCTCCCTACTTGACGTTTGCTCATAAAGATTTTCATACACTTTTACCGAAAGGTGATCCTCAGGGGATCCCCTGGGGATCACCTTTCGTTTTCAAAGTGATTTATCTTCCTGAGAAGTCAATGAAAACGCTGTGAAATTGTACTGAGGATATACTACGGCACTGCAAGCTGTTTTCGACAGGAGAAATGGTGAAGATTGTGAATTTTTCGATGATCCCTAGCTCGCGAGTCAGGGATTACCGAAGATTTCGAAATCCCGAGATTTCATTTATTTCTGCTATAAACATCTTTAGCAGTGCCATAGTAAATCCACAGTACAATTTAACAGCATTTCATTGAGTTTTCAGGAAGATAAATGGCTGAAATTGAGAGGTGATTCCGTGGGGATCCTTTGGGGATTCCCAGGGGATCACACAAAGTAGTGAAAATCTAATCAATTATGCCAGTAACCTGGCATCCATTATGCGCAGGTATTAGTTATGAGAACCTTCATAAGCAAGATAGAGAAGGAAGAAGAAAGATACCTAGAGTAGCGAGATATGGCGCATCCCCCCTCAGATTCCCTCCCCTCTCCAGCGGGGATGTACGTGCATACGGGCCTTAGAAATCGAGAAAACAAAAACTTTAAAGTTTTTACAAAAGCGAAGCTAAGCGTTTCCACTCAAGTAATTGTATACTAGAATCCCTCAGAGGTATAACTGTAAATTTTCGGTTTTCCACAAGCCCCAGTTTTCGAAAAATATTGTTTTTGGCATGAAACGCCCAAGTGAGGGGAGCTAAATTCGGTAATCTTCGAAAACTAGGATCTAACTGAATATCTAAGTTTATGCGTTTGAGGGATTACATTATACAATTCTTAGGATATTTTTGAGAGAAGATATGAATTTTTTGCGATTTTCTGTGCCTTCAGAATTCACATTTTGGATGCAAACTTGAAGTGGACCGAAGTTGGGGCGAACTTTCGCAGACCCTCTTGGGTTTGCTTTGCTCTATCGCATGGTGCCCTGGACCCCTATCAAAAACGTGAATTGCATGACTTATCAGCTTGAAAAATTAGAATGTCTCAAGACTTATGTTACAACCTGCAGTATTGTTACACACCATCATTGTAAACAACCTTTTCACATGATTCAACTCACAAAGTACTGATTTTTTGGATCTGGCTTCGCGAATAACGCTAGCGATGAAGCAAAAGATTATTTCTTAAGCTGTTCTTGTATTCATAATGCCCACTTCAATAACCCTCTAATCCAAATTCGAAAAAAATTTGACCAAAAATTGACAGATGACATTGATTGATGACGCAAAGTACAGTCTTTTTCAACTCAGAGTAGACGAAACATTCAAGGTGGAGCTGCGCGCCCGCACCGCCACTGGCTCAGCGAGATAGATTAGAATGAAGAGACGACTGCAAAGCGGCGCGAATCTCTGCGAAGCGGACTCCCGCCAACCCAATTTCCGCCTAAACTGAGTTGAAACTTACTATACCCTAATACTCGCTCCGCCCGAATTGCGTATGTGCAAGGCAAAAGTTAGGTCAGATCGCACGGTGCACGCGGCGTACGGCGCAGGCTGCGTTCATGGGTGTCCTTCAATAACAATGCCACAAGTGCTGCTTTACCCTGCACTCTACAAAATCTGCTTAATACCGTGACAACGAGTACACGCATCAAAACATTACAATTAAGTGCTTAAGCTAAAGATGTGATTCTACTTCCAAACTTAGTCACTCCAAGCGTCTAACAGTAACCATTACTAACGAAAAAATGCTACTACTATACTAAAAACAAAAGCAAAAAAGCGGTTTCCGAAATGACATACGCATGTACGCGGGGCTGCCGCCATTGTTATGGTGTCTCTTGTGGTGTCTCATGATCGCGCAGGCAACAGACCCCATCGCCATTGGTCGCCACCAGCAACTGTTAAACGCCGTTAGCAGCCGCTAGGGGTTTTGTTATCGTATCAGAGCGAAATCAACACATTTTCATTCATCTCTACTTTTTCTAGATTTGCGCTAATGTGCGGTTGTTGTCGTCAATGTATAGGTGCTGCTAGTAGCATAAATATGCTATTTGTTGCCGATTTCTTTAAGATAATTTGTGTTATTTAAAATTGTCGAACAATTTCGAGTGATTAAGTTGCCTTTGAAATGTGAATGCGTCAAAAGTTCTTCTGGTGTGCTCTTCTTTTTTTATTTTTATCTTATGTGTTTGCAGTGCATCTTTTTCTCGTACACATCTTTATCTGCATCTATCTTTTCACCCTCCATGCATCAGCATGTCATAGGCACCACTACAACAACAAGCGTTCTTTATATTTCTATGGGTTGTTATGTAGCGTAAACTTATTTTCCGGGATTTTGCTTTTCATTGACAACAAGAACAAGGAAACCGTGGCCTTCACCATTACTCAAAGTCAAACTTTTCATCTTCATCCAGTTCATTCGCTCGAAATTAAATGGTACATCCTGCCGTTTAGTGATGCCGAGTTTATTTGAAGCGGATGAAGCGGATAAGAGGATGAGCGAAGTGTGGCAGGATAGCGATGAAAGCAAATATAAAGGTGATGTGTGAGAGGCAAACTGCATTAGCGAGATCAGGAAAAAGCATGGAGATAGGAGCGCAGGCGGATGCACTAGAACGTTATGGAAAACTAGATTTTGAGCTATTGATGAAAGCAACTAACGGCGGCTAATAGCGATTACAAGCCGCTTCCAGTGGCTGCCGGCGTGGTATGAAGGCGTCCTCATGTTATAATGCGGTTTAAAAACCTTTTTGGAACATGCATGCACGATTTTTAGTTGCGGCAAAAACTCGCACTACTATAGAAGTTTGGCGGGATTCTGACTCAACTGACTATCGGTCGTTTTTTGTGACTCTTTTTACATAAAGGCTTCTTGGCAGCAAGAACTTGATGCGCCATTCTGGCGCAATCTTTGAATTGCGGCCTGACTTTGTGGCGCGCATGCTGCCCAAGTGCCAACGCTTGCACTGCAACAATATAGATTCGTTTGTATGTGGCTCAAAGCAATTTATCCCACAGCAGTCATAGCATTCTAGGAACAAGAATTGGTACCTGCGAGTAGGGGACTTAAGGTCTCCGAAAGGTTAGGTCCCGTTTAGACGTTTGCAGCAAATGCGTCTTTTTTCCATCGTGAGCGGTAGGAGCTTAATTTAACCCAATGTTGTCCTCTACCAGAAAGCTGTCAACGTACGCATGCCGCGTACACCGCAAGGTCTGGCTCAACTCAAAGGTAAATAGTGCATGTTTTAACACTAGTATTTTTGTGTAGTGGAAGCAGTTACTCGGTCCCGTTGATTTTCATAGCGAATCGGCAAATTACTCATACGCGTTTAAATGCAAATTTGATGCAGCCACAGTCCAACAAATGCAGGTTTCAAGACTGACATCGTTGTTGTTCAGTATTTCGACAGTCATTGCGCCAAATTGTCGCGATCTCAGAGTTTCTGAAAAAAAAAACAGAGTAAGTATAGGAATTACCATAAACGAATCTCCCATTGCTCCAATGTATTTAAAGTCCGCTGGTCGGACGTGATCGACATCTCTTGGTGTTCTACGCGAAGGTTGCATTTGTCGGACATCGCAAGTTAGCTTGCCACCCTGACTTATTTTTCCTGCAATACGTATGCATGATCTTGATCCACATTCGGTGAAACCTGAGTACTTTGTGGTTTTGTACTCTTTAGCAATCGGATAAGTTTGAGGTGATCGTTGATTTCTGGAACGTTGCCTTTAGGAATTCCTAAAAGGATATCGTTTGAACTCCAAATCTTTGTGCTCATTGAGCGAATTTGTCATTATTGTTGGCAACTGTTGACCTTGAACTTTTTTCTTCTTCACTACATTCCTAAAAAAGTATATTTTATACATTCGGACTATCCTTAGGTTTTAGGCAATATTCCTTCTATGCTATCATCAGCTACAAGCATCATAAGTCCACGACGTATAGGAACAAAAACCCTTCATTCAATACTTTTCGCAGAAGCTTTCAGTTGCGGAAAAGTTAAGTAAGATACTTTACGAACCACATCTCAATCTCTACTTTACGTTCAAGTTTGGTTTCTCGATTGAACCAATGTCTGGAAGATTCGGTATGAGAGGAGTTTTGGATAAAAGAGGAGAAATTTTTCGTTGTTGAGTCAGTCATGGTTTGAAGACGCACAGTTTTCACAGTTTTACAGCTAAATTAGGCGATGTGTTAGTAGTGCACCGGCGTACAGGAAAGTAGAGCGGCAACTTCTGCAAACGCGCTCCATTACGTGCATTGAGATTAGGTAAAGGCATTGGCGAAGTTGCATGAGCCAAGGTGATAACTTTGATAGCAGGGGAAGGTTTCAGTACAGATGTCGCAAATGAGGAAGATCTGTACTTTCAGGTATTGATAGGTGCGACACAATTTGAAGATCTATCATGGAGTCGTTGACCGCTCGGAATAAATATCACTACCGAGCACGCATTGCGAGGTGGAACACTTGTCCAAGTCCGAATTGTCATTGTACGTGGTTTCTTGCAACCTTTTAGCCTCGTCGCGCATGGTCCGCAACGTTTGAACAGTCCGTGCGGTTAAGGACTCGACGATAGTACTAATCCCAAAATTTGGTCTCGGAAGAAGATTTTTATGCAAGTTTTTTGTGAGTATCACAAAAAAATCAATCACATTTTCTATGTAACGCGTTTGAAGCTGCAAGCAGTTTATCCGAGTTTAGGTAATTCAGAATGAATATAAAGAAATTGGGATTTGAGGACTGAGGTTAAACTAGGGTTATTTCCGATGAACTGTTTGTTTCTTATAATTCAAACTAAGGTCTCAACTGCCATCATTTCTCTTCCTTCGGACTTGCATGCGGCGCCTAGCAGACACTTCTCTGGCAGCGAAAGATCTAATCTCAAGGTATGTTATGTTATATGTCCAAAATGAGGATGGAGCTTTTGGTGTTTCGCTTGCATCGAAAGACAATTCTTTAACATTGGTGTAAAATCAGAATAACTATCCTGCAACAAAGAGTCGAATGAGTTCGATATTGACAATGAGCAAGTCAGCCGTGAGAAGAATAAAGTAAAAAATGACTCGAAGCTTGGTTTCCGGAAACAAAGCGGGGTGGCTTCTTTGCTAATGTTTATCGATGTAAAAACAATGAGCTTCGCGTAGCGAAAAATGTATCACCTGTGCTCCCGACTTTGCAACGGACTTCCTGCAATACTGGAAGTCACAGCATTTTGCTACGCATTGAACTCACATAATCTTTCGAAACATTCTTTGCGACAACCCACGGGGGGGGGGGGAAGTTTCTCACCCGAGCAATATTGAGTGATGTGATTGCCGGGCACATCCGGGCTCGCTATAATTACGAGTTCCCCAGGAGACCAAAACATCGCAAGCCCCGCCCCCTTTCCATGTCGCGCCAGATGCTCAAACCGATTTCAAAGAAACCTTTAAAAACGAAGTATAAAAGTAATTTGCTCCAGTCAAGGCCAAATTTCGGATTTAGGGGTTTTCGAGGTTACTCTTTTTAGTAGTGAGATTTGTTTTTGGCAAAATCAATGTTCAGCGCTGCTAATGCTTAAAGGCACCGTCTACCCAAAATAGAGGTTGGGAGATTATGATGGCATACTAGTGTGGGTCCCCACACTAGGCAAATCTCCAAGCTGCGCCGCAAAGCCTGCTTCTGGAGCGAGAAATCTGCTTTGGAAGTAGCAAAGTAGGCGACGACCATGGTCGCCCCGCCCACTTGGATGCTTTATCTCGCCTGCGCTTGCTGCAGAGGGTTCTCAAAACAGGGATTTTTTGAGTGTTTTGCGGATTTTCGACTCTATATTCGAAAACAGGGCCTTCAGAAGGCCTGGAATCGACAAAAACATGGAAGTTGAGAATTTGGGTGGACGGTGCTTTTGAACAAGATTAAAATTCGGATGAAGGTTCTCAAAATTCTTGTCCAAATCAAGACCAAAGTTTAGAAATACGGGTTCTCATAATCATAACGATACATATTTTGTGCATATCAATAGCAATTTGATTTTTTGAGCAACTTTTTGGTGACCAAATGTTTTTCTGACAGAAACTGATTTACTTCCATAGAATTGAAATGTTAGACGCAGGTATACGTATGTGATTCCGTAGTGTTTTCTTTCCCTGAATTCAATCTCAAGAATATGCCAAGGTATAGCTCTGATAATGATAATGATACCGGGCAGATATTTCTTGAAATCTATATAGCAGAGGTTGCTGAGGTCATCGAGGCTGGCTCAATACCAGAAAGCTTCATAGCAAACCTAGAAAGATTCTTCCCTTATTTATAAGAAAATTCTACTTGAAATGCTTTTAGCTCTTGTTTGCAGTTCACGCTTCAAACTCTGTCTTTGACAAACCTCCGCGCAACACGTGAATCGCAGATATGGCTGTCACGGGAGGAAGGCGATACGATTTCGGAATTTTGAAATAAACTCGGGCTACTTTGAAGTTTCAGAAATTTTGTTTATGGTTGAATTTAACTTATTTCAGATACGGATAATTTTTACACACGTGCTAGTTTGAAGTCAGTTTCAATCTATTTTGATTTAACGTGCCCTGGTATTCAGGGCTGATTTCGTACAAATCCATGCTATGGGTGTTTTTAAATAGTCATTCAAAGACTTTCGAAAACCCTTGAATCTGAATTTTGGTCTTGTCTATAAAAGATTTCAGAACTCTAAATCCGAATTTTGATCTTGGTCAAGCATTATCGGTGCTGAACGTTGACTTTGCAACAAATAAATCTCGCTATTGAAAAGAGCAACCTTGAAAACCCCTAAATCCGAAATTTGGCCTTGACTGCAGCAAATTCACTTCTGAACTTCGATTTTAAAAGTTTCTTGAAATTCTGGTTTCAGCATCTGGAACGACACTGATAAGGGGGCGGAACTTGGTCTCGTGAGGAGCTGTAATTGTAGCGACCCAGATGTGCCTGGGCAGGCACAACACATTAAGTGCGAGAATATGGCCCGGGTGAGAAATCTCCCGCACCACCCACACTGCAGTTAGTGAGCAGGAAGACAGTGATACGAAGCGCATTTGCTCTCTGGGTGTGCAGTCGAATTTCCATTGGTGAGAATTGTATGTGAATCTTAGATAACAGATTTTACCGTCTGAAAAGGCCATACTTATTCATTCCATGCGCTTCATTATCCGCTTCGAAACATTTGTTTAGTGTTGCCGCGATGAATCCGTTGGATTGAGAGTGTGCGGGGAGCGCAAAATGTAACATATATCGTCTAATCGACATTGAAAATTGATCTTTTTTGCTTCTAAAAAACCACTGCTTTTTTTCAGAGAGGGTGTGAATACTTTCAACATATCTTCTGAGATGCTAGTCGCGATAGCATAGCATCTCACTGATGGTGCGTAAAAGTGGAGTAGAGATGTAGGGTAGCACTTTAAAGATCGAGAAGTGGGTGATGGATGATGGATCATAAATTTACGGTCTTCAACTTACTGCGATGCGAAAGTTTGATTAAACTCATAGCTCATCAATCATCTTCGGTTTGTTTTGAATAAAGAAGTAAAATTAATGCACTTTGAATATTCTTCCTCTTCTAGCTTTGAAAAGCGCCCTGCAAGCACTTGATAAGGTTAATAACTTTGTCAACTTCCATCTACAGAGCTGCAGGTATCCTCTCCATTCTGTCCGCTTGATAGCTGAGAGGTACCAGAGCTACGATGGAGTTCAAAGCTTAAAGTTGTCAAGGGATAAAGCAGTAAAGTATTGATGCTTTTCATCGACCTCTTGCCAAATACAATTTGAACAGCTATACTGTCAGGCTCTTGGTATTCTCCACTTCTATGCGTCGATTCTAAGCACATTGGGAGTAAGCTAGATATAGTACAAAATATGCGCTAGTAAAATGCATCAAAGCATACATAAAAATTATAATTTCATCGGCAATTCTTGATCAATGTAGAGAGTGTCACAAAAAAAGGTGTCGAACCTTTGATCGCCAAAAATCTTCTTGTTCTCTTCCGTTCCTACTCATTCTGTATCTACGATTTCTCTTTTAGAAGCGTTCAGCAGGCAAAAAAGGCGAGATTGAGATTGTTTTAAGCGCTTGGTAACGGTATGCATTATGCCATCGGATCACCTCCGTGAACTCAGATTGTTAGCGCCTTTGATTTCTAGGATTGAAACTCATGAAATTGTAACGAAGGAGTGGACGTGGAAAAGAGTGTATACATGCAGCAGTTCAAGTGCTAGCTATTGTTCAGTGACATCGAAACGAACGAGAAGGAAGCAAGTTTCGTGATTATTTTCTAGAACTTACGGTTATTATGACATTCGGTGAAAGAAATTATCAAAAATGCCTAGGTACACTGACTGTGCGTTATTTTTTCGAGTATGCAGTCCATTCCTGTGCAGAATTATTTGCATATCATCTATTTTGCATTCTAAAGTATGAATTGTCTTCAAATTATCTTCAGATTCTTGTCATCAGACCCTTCCGAACATACTTTAGCTTTTTTTACTTCTCTTCTTCTCTTTAAGAAATCTCTTTTCACAGTGAACCCTTCGCAATTCCTAAATTATCAAGACAAGAGAAACTACAAAAGCAGCAACATTTTGAAAGTAGAAAAAAAAGGTTAACTGTGGAAGTGACTGTTATCTTTCGATCCTGCGAAAGAAGAAACAAAGGAAAGGAAGTTATGCTTTGGATAAAAATTTTCGTTTGAAAAAACCTTAACGGTAATGCGACACAATCACCATTTTCACTAGCGCTTCACGAATGGACACATGCTATGAAATTGACCTGCCAATTGGCCACTTGAGTTCGGATACATTTTAGCCTCTTGCATTCTGTATCTTCCAAATTCGAGACGTTGCCTTTGCGAACTCGTCATTTTTCATCTCGGCACAAAATGTCAAATTTCATAGTACATAAAGTGCGAAGCTGCTCTGCTTTTACAGAGTTTGGTCTGATCCCGATTGTGACAGCCTACGATAGCGTTTCGTTAAGACACTGAACTAATCTATAATATTTGTTATCTGCACGACAATTCTTTAAAAGTTATGGGCAACATTCTCTCAGAATTGGCGCGTTTGCACAAACATACGAGTACTGTTAAATTTTGGGTTTCATGCATATTTCAATGGTCACCTGGTTTCGCATGCTCAAAGTGTTTCATAATTATTCGTAAACGCAATTCAAAAATGTAGAATACGCGACATTTTTTCTGAACGAAATCCGAACATACCTTGCATTTATATTCCTCTAATGCTATAAAGAAGGGGCTTTTGTGGGTTACCACGGCAAACCTCGGTTTGACCTTGGGTTTCTTGTTTCGCGTTTGTTTTGTTGAGTCGGAGAATACTTTTGCAGATAACAAATTGAATTTAGGAACATTTCAAGATGAGCATTTTTATTTATTAGGTTGGCACATAAGTTTTGCAGCTTATGCCATAACTTTTCTCTTTTTGGATGTAGTGCTCTCATTTTTTGATATAATGTTTGTAGGTTATTTAGTGAGCTGAAAACCTGTGCAAATCTTTTTGTTTGTGGTGATGAAGTGGGAGAAATTTACGCAATTTTCGAAAGCTGGTCAAATCAAAAACGCTAAAAACAAAAATGAAGCCGTCCTTAGAGTGCATCAAACGTGTCCAGAGAAGACTTTGTCAAGATAATTGCTAGATAAAGTTTAATAATTTATACAATTTATGTACACTTTCGGCTTGATGCATTTGATGTAGGCTGAAATCGACTTAATTCTCATTTTTAGCCCAGTGAAATATTTGACTTCACCCCCTTTTACGCGCAAAATTCCTCCATTTCGCCATCAGAAACAAAACGATTTGCGCTGATCTGTAGCTCACTACCTAATCAACATGGAGACAAAAAATGAGTGCGCTATTCAAGAAGAGAAAACTTGGGATAAGTTGCAAAACTTATGTGCCATCCTAATATTGTGAATATACATACATATACAACTCCTTCCGAACAGAGTCACTATGTCTTTTGTCTAAATGCAAGTATTGAAGAAAGAAAGCACCTGTATCGTCAGTAGCAAGTGCGATAAGGGCTAGCACCATGAAAGCAGAGTAACCTAATCGTTTTATATGTGCAGTCGAAACAAAAACCTTTCTTCTGCATGAAAACAGTATTCAGATCATTTACGCTGTTGTTGTGGTTTACCTGGTTTCCAGAATTCGATTACGTGTTCGCAGTATAGCCATACGTCATAGGCAGAAAAGAACTCACTTAACTCAGAAAGGAACAAGCAAGAACAGACAGTTTGTGGGAATGTACATTTGCACAATATCTTTTCGACAGTGTAATAGAATAATGTTTTGAAGTCGAATTTACGAGCAGGATCAGGAGGATTGCGGAAAAGCGAAGTGCTGTTTCAAAATATTTTAGTAGACGCACTATTCCTTCGCAACTCAGTATTTAGTGTCATAAAACAGTACAGAAGTATTTTGAAGAGAGCGCTAGGAGTGTCTAAATGCGATGTTATCTCAAAGTGCAAGATTTTATCCAAAATGTTGAAATGTTCTTTGCATGACGAGTTGAGGCTTTCGCCGCGCTCGTGTTATCCGTGTTACTCGTGTTGAGGGCAGTGTTCCGACAGATTTTGCATTTCCCTCTTTTTGCATGTTTTGGGCCTTTTCGACCCGTATGTCCCAAATTTGAGCTTTGAAACGGGTGAAAAGATCTTTTTCGGGGCGTTTATCCAGTTTCTAAAAAGCAGCTTGGACGAGAATTCTAATGAAAAGTCGGAAGCTGGTACGAAGACGCTGCTGCTTGTAATCTTTCCTTTGGATAGCATGCACAATGCGGGAGAGCAGTCGTGTGGTCTCGGTAAGCGAAGTCGTTCGAGCGCGCGCCGATTGGGGTTGCGTGCGCCGTTCAAGGGCTATTTTCTCGGCCCAGGTGGAACATCAGCCGGACTGCGTCTGGAGGCCGGTGGGATGACCAGGACCCCCTTCCCCCCAATAGCAATATCCCCCAGAGCGCGAATCTGCCGGGACACTGCCTTTAACGGTGTTACCAGTTTTACTCGTGTTACTCATGTTACTCACCAGTTAAGCGTTTTGGAATGAAACTCATTTGTTATCAATTCACTACTCAACAGCAATAAAAGCGGTAACCGTGGTAACACGGGTAACACGGGTAATATGAGTAACCTGGTAACAACGGCAACACGGGTAAGGCCTCGGGCAGAGTTGTTTACGCGATTTGAACGTCGCGATTCGCTACAAGACAAGTGTTACGAGTTCATTGTATGCCAATCTTCTTGTACTTCGGTTGTCATAGTTAGTAACGATTAATCGTGTTGCAAAACTATCACAACCGAAATGCAAGAAGATCCACATGCAATGACATTGTTACAGTTGTCTT